AGACATGTCAGTAGTTTCTGACTTTATATATTCGTCTTATGCTCGACGAAGGGATTATTCAACCTTCCACTTCCCCCTTCTCCAGCCCTATATTCTTGGTGCCTAAAGGGCAAGATGGGTTTCATCCGGTTATTTATTATCTGGCTCTTAATAAGAAGATCAAAATTGAATCGGTCTCATTGCCTGATATCCATTCATGTATTCACTGGTTTAAGACAGCCAACGTGTTTACTTCGCTTGACCTCAATTCGGCATATCACCAGATTTGGTTAACTGACGTTAAATTTCAGTGGGGGCCTGATTAGATACGCGTCTTTCAGGGCTTGAAGCTCGCCATTACGGTGCGGTCCTCTGCACAGCCGACTTCTCCCGCAGGTTCACGCTCCAGACTGATGCTAGTTCGATGGCGGTCGCGGCGGTGCTCTTACAGCAGTTTGACGGTGAGCTGCAGCCTATTGCTTACGCCTCACGCACATTATCCCACTCTGAGAGAAAATTTTCAACGTACGAACTCGAGTGCTTAGCAGTCCTCTTTGGCTTGGAGAAATTCAGGCCGTACCTCGAACACCTCGAGTTCGATCTGCAGACCGACAATCAGGCTCTCAAGTGGTGTCTCTCCCATCCCCGCCAACTCGGGAGAATTGGTCGTTGGGTTGTGAGATTGTCCTCATTCAAATTTGATGTGCGGCACATTACGGGAACCCAAAATGTCATCGCGGATGCTCTCTCACGCATGTATGACCCCAGCGCCGAAAACCCTGTTTGTTCGCTACTTTTGGATTTCCCCGTCCTATTCGAGGATATTGCCGCGCACCAGAGGAGGGACCCAGAACTTAGTCCCATTATGGACCAGCTGTCATTGGGGCAGGAAGTACGCGGATACTCTCTAGTTAAGCGCGTACTTTATTGCAAGGCTCGTTTTGACGGTCGGCCTAAGATCGTCATCCCTCATGCCTTAATTCCCGCTCTCTTTAGTTATTTCCATGACTCTCCCTGCGGGGGCCACCTAGGGGTGCGAAAAACGCTTTGGAAAATTCGTCAGCTTTCATATGGAAGTGTATGGATGCGGATATCTCCGCTAGAGTACGGTCGTGCAAGCTCTGCGGGCTTAGTAAGCCAGCCCAGAACGCCCATTATGGTATGCTGGCCTCTGACGTGGCTACTCGCCCACTGGAGAAGTTGTTTGTAGATTTCGTGGGGAAGTTCCCCCGGTCAAAGCAGGTAACTCCTATGCACTAGTCTGTGTGGACGCTTTTACCAAGTTTGTTTGGATTTTCCCTGTCCGGGAAGCGTCCACCGCTACGACTATTCGGGTGTTACTGAACATCTTTTCCACATTTCGGATTCCCGAGGTCCTCGTATCCGATAATGCCACGCAGTTCACATCTCGCAACTTTCGCAATTTCTGTTTTGCCCGAGACATCAGGCATGTCACCACCACACCGTACTATCCTCAGCCCTCCCATGCCGAGAGCTTCAACCGGAATTTACGGGCGGCGTTGATTTCATACCAACATCAAGGCCATTCCCGATGGGACGAGAACCTCTCCTGGCTTTAGTTTGCATAAATTCGGCTCGCCACGAGTCCTATAAGACCACTCCATTCAGTTTGATGTTTTCCTTTACGCAAATCTCACCCCTTCCCAACCTCTTGTCCATCAAGGAGTTACTTTCTGAAACCCCTGATTTCCGCTCCATCCGGGAACGCTGGGAGGCAGCGCGTAGATATCTCCGACTCGCGCACGCTGCCGTGCGCAGGACCTACGACCGACGCCGCCAACCCCTTCCTTTTCACGTTGGAAGCAGTGTTTGGCTTAAGAATTACCCCCTCAGTAAGGCGTCCCAACACGTTGCGGCCAAACTTTGTCCCAGATATAGGGGACCCTTTACCGTTGTCAAGTTTACCTCTCCGGTTTCCGTTCAGCTCTCCGACTCTGACGGCGGCAGCAGGATCCGCGCTCACGTCTCACAGTTGAAAGCTGCGTGAGTGGCCTACCACTAGGTTTGTAAATGCAAATGTGATATAGTTTTGGAAATTTATGGTGCTCTTCTGTATACTTATGCACCACGCTAGCATAAAGGTACTTTGCATAAACGCCTTGCGACTCCTATGTTCCTATATATAGGTGGAACATTATACAGATGAGTATATGTTTTCTTGTATGTGGGCCTTGAGGCCATTCTATGGGTAGGTTTCCTTGGACTTAGTGCCTGGAGGTACTTTCCTTTTCTATTCCGATGTCTCGGAAGTATATATATATATATATGTGTGTGTGCCCTCTGAGTACTCTGGTATATTATGATATTGTTGCATTGGCGCCGGCATACTCAGGTAGAGTCGTGACTTTGTGTGTGTACGAGTACATTGGTGTGAGTGTTTGGGGATCTCCAACGACTGAGGTTATAGCAATATGTTATTCGTGTAACTTTCCAGCTCGGAAGTGTAACCAGAATTGTCTCAGCGGTTATGGCATCTTGAGTGTGTCTGTGTTCTTCACGTGTCTCAACTCATATTGCAGGTCGACCCTTAGTTCGGACGGGCTGCGCTGTCCCTTCTGGTGCTACCATCTTTTCCAGAGCCTTACGCCGGAGGGTAGAAAAGACCCACCGTCTGTACGACCAAGTCCGAAGCACTGTCAAGTACCTGGTACGAGAACCACACGTACCCCCCCCCCTCGTGTCTACTGGCGGCTTCCTGTATCGTCAGGCATATTATGGACGTGATGAGGGGGAATCACCCCCGGCGTCTCCTTCGTTGGGGTTAGGGGGAGGACTGTAACGTCAGAAACTACTGCCATGTCCCTTAACAAGAAGCCCCCTTCATTCCTTTCTCCCCTCTCCTCCTGCCCTACGCTTGCGCCCTTCACCCTTTCACCAGGGAATATCAGATTCGTCTGAAAACTAAAGGGGGATTCTGCTGCACGCCGTGGAAGAGTGTGGTGCTCGTCTCGTTCGAAATTATTTCTCGAACATTTTTTCCCCCCGGCACTACAGCTCCAGTGGTCCTAGACCTACGTCAATGGACTTCTCCGTGAACATTTTTAGGTTTTTTAAATTAACGGCGGAGTTGGTGCACTGTTTTACTTTGTTTCGTCCTCATCTGGGACAGCCTGTATTTTTCTTTCACTCGACCAATTATATTATTATATTTATTTGGTGCGTGTATTGTTTAAAATTTTTTTACCCCAAACCACTTTTCGGTCCTGGGCCTTGGTACGTTTCAGTCACATCTAAGTTCTGCGGGGGATACTGAAGAGTGTTAGTATGAATGGGCACGCATGGCCTCGTTCCACTTCGGTGCTGGCATCGCGGTTTCGAGTCCCGCTCGTGAGGATGAACATATGGACGTATTAATGTGAAGTTTTTACAACTATGTAGTTACAATGCAATTAAATCAATGCATTTTCGTCCCGCTCGATGAAATTCCCGCCTCATCACTGTGAAGAGCTTTATGAGTACCAGAAATCTCAGTAGCAAAACAGCTAGGCAGACCTTCTTGCTGGACAGGCAGTCGGAGACATATTTGCCGGAAGCGAAATACTCAAGTTTGCAGGGTTTTCGGATTTCTTCCATCATAAGTTTCCTAAAGAAAGCAATATTTCGGAAACTGGATGTTTCCATCTTGAGGTGAAGGTGTGGGAGACACAAAATAACAAAATAATCACTTCATAAACAAAATACTACTACGTATATAATCCATCACTATACATATAGATACACCAGACCCATAACATGTGCATACGTGTTTCAGGGAGGTGCTGCAAACAACCACCTAGCGGCGGAAGCCTGTACTACAGACGACCCGCCTTCTAGAAACAAATTCCAGTGTTTTCGGGTCCCCCCTCGTACAACAAAATAATTATAGTATGATATTTTAAAATAATTCTAAAATATTTTGTAGAAATTTTACACCTTCAAACTGCGAAGTGTCGCAGCGCGACAAAGGGGCAGCAGTTTCCTCTGCAAATTGTACACCTGGTGATGGCCAGTTGGGGCGAAACATGAAGTGTTCGAATAACAAGAAGAGAGACGAATGATTTTGAAGTGTGATTTTTGATACATTGTCGAAGTTGCACAGGGACAGTTAGAAGTGTAAGAGCTAATTTGATAATTAAATAACTGACGAATTCTTTAGGAACTTGGATTTCCCTTTCTACTTCCTCTACGATCTTTTTAACCATTTAACTGTGAATGGGCGACTCAGTAAAATGTAATTATCCGGGCAGAGAATATGTTACGTAAGATTTGAGGTTTCCACGGCGGTGACTATGAAGAAAGCAGTCTTCTGGGATTTGGCATCGTGTATATGTGGTGTTAACCTACGTTTCGGGGGAACGTATCGCCTCCATCTTCAGGGTAGAAGGAAAAATATAAGAAATCCGCAGGCGAAGAGTCCGTGAGAACCGGTACAAGCAGACTGCTGGAGAATTGGCGGCTCCTCAAGAAGGGCTTAAATCCATAAGTAAGTAAGTAACTAAGAGCATATAGCACACATGGAGAAATGAGACATAAGTACAAAATTTTAGTCGGAAAGAATGAAGGGAGGAGACAACTTTGAAGACCTAGGCCTAGATGGGAAGATAATATTAAAATGACTTTTAAAGAAATATAATATGATGATTCAAACGCGATTACTCTGTGAGGATTTCTGTGAACGCAATAATGAACACTCAGGTTCTATAAAAGGCAAAGGTCTTGACTAGCTGAACGACTGTTAGTTTCTCAAAAAGGGCTCTGCTACAAGTAATTACACAACTCATTTGAGCTACAACGAAAAACTACATTTCATTATCTTGCTAAAATTTTTATTTCTGGAAAAGAAGGTATCTTTTATTGTGAAAGAAGCAAAGCATTCACTGTCGCGTAAATTCCTTCATCAGAAGCGTGCCAGTTAATTCTGACGACACGGGAATAATTTTAGTCACTGAATGAGAGCGGAATTTTACGGGGATCGCTCCTACTCTCTGCCCCCTCCCTTCTCCGGAGCTGTACCACAGGCGACCTCGGCGCTCTCTGCGAATCACTCAGCCCGGGTGCAGCTGGTTGGATGTGTGTATGTGTGTTGTGTGTGTTCTGCCGGCGAACTCTCTGTGCCATTGTAACACACTAGGCTACCTCAACAATCTCTTCATTTGTTTTTCTTCACTGCGATAAAGCCAACAAATGGCTGCCTATAACGTTTTCATTGGAATTTTCACAGTGTTACTTGTATATATGCATACGGGTAAGTATTTTTGTAATTATAATTGAATTTTATAGCTCTTTTGAAATTATTTTTGTGTATTCACCTTTCCAGTTTAAATTATGGGACTAACAAAATACACTTCCTTAGTATTCTAATATGCAAGCGTTATAAGTTTCTTTGTAGTAAGCAATATATTTTTAAGATCATTGCAGGTTAATATTAGAGTTCTGTGCAATATTCAGTAAGAATTTGTAAACTGGTATGTATGCATTTGAAGTATTTGTGACAGCAGTGATAATAATAATAACAATACTAATAGTGATAGACATAATTGGAATAGTATAATTCAATGCGTGATGAAATTACAACCTTTGTGTCGCCAATGTAGCTACGCATTTGGGGGCATAATATTTATCAGTTTACATATATCCGTGAAACAACGTAATATTCCATTGCAATATTCAGAACGTGATATTTTACTTTGGATTCTGTGAACTGCTATCAGGATTTTCGAATAAGAGGAATTAATATTTTCATGAAAGTGAATTAAATGCTTGAAGAATTTTGAGACAATTTTGGAATATGAGAAATCTGTTTAGCGTAATCTTCATATAGACTACCATCCTCATTCTGCCAGGAGTTTGTTTAAGTCATGAGCTGATGATGATATAATCGTTGGTTATAATTTCTATGTGCCTTTAATTGGGGTTTAGTGTCTGTGAAATTGAACGCAATTTTAAAATGTAATAATAGTAATACATACATACACACTTACAATTTCTATTAATTTTCGAGGAATAATCACTACTACATTTAAAACCAAACATTTTTTTCATGTCACTTAAAAAACGAATAATTTTGTGGATATTCCCGCAGTTTTTAAAATAAATTCTTCATGTTTTACACCTGGCATTTCGTTCCCTAAGAAGAATCAATAACTTGGTGGTGCCACCTGTACAAAATAAAATGGAATTGTTACAGTGGGACAGACAGTTACATCCGCACTAGGGGAATATCTGGAGGTTTTTCTTGTAGCGCTTTATGAAATCTACGTGCTCACGGAAGGATATTCTTTCCATCCTAAAATGAGGTCAGTAAAATTTTCCTTACAATGCAAAGCAGAACGGCGTCCTGAAATACTGGATCGATATCCCGAGAACATGATGCGTACTGTAAGACTAAGGCTGGGTCATCTTGGAACTCGAGGCCGGCAGATCTCCTCATTTTCACAGACCTGGCTCTCATACAGATTTTTAAATGAAATGCAGACATTTTTCTTTATCTCAGCCCATTGCCCATGCATCAAGGATGTAGAAATATGCATGTCGGTTACGGATTCATAGACTAAATTAACATACATACTACTTAGATTACGGATTAAGAGTCGAAGAAAGGAAGCTTTTCGAGAAACCATGACACCTACTTTTCTCAAAATTATTCAGTCTCTATAACGATAATATAAAAATTACAAACTTACAATTGTATGATTCGTTGCCCTTTTTTGCGCAATTTGCACCAGTATACATTCCGACTTCATTAAAATTGCCCAGTATTATTTCAGTTTCGCACCATCGCCATCTTTATAATTGTTGACATAAAAGGTGCACGCCATGCAGAATGCGTTTATGGCGCATCTCCAGGAAGCACGTCATGTAGTTCTGGAGGCTGACTGTTTCCTGCCATCAAACGGAAAGCTAAATACAGATTTCACACAGTTATCATGTTTTACACTCTGCAGAACAAGTTACTTGAATACAAGTTGCATATTTTCCTCAGGCCTATTCCAATTCATATGAGCCTGGATATCTCTGTCAGTATAGTGACAATGCTACAAGCTGGATGACGGAGGAGCTAGGGTTCGATTTCCAGAATGTGAAGGAAGTTTCCCTGTTCTCCATAACGTCCAGGACGGCCCTGGGGCCTACCTGGCCTCCTGTGCATTGGGTATGTGGGAACTGCCCAAATTCAAGCAAACATTACAGTGACAACGAAAGTATCTTTGCCTAGCAACGGCTGTTTACTCGCCGTTGCTAAACTATGATACTTGTGTTGTCACTGTTACGTTTGCTTGAATTTGGGGAGTTCCCACAGGTACAAGTGGGTGTTTCCTTAGGGGTAAAGCTGCAGGGGCATGAAGCTGACCACTCGCCTCCGTCTAGTGCCGGGTAAAGTGTGATTGAGCTATACCCTCACCCCTCCCCCCCGTATATGTTCATGACTTGGTGCTTGCTTAATTAAGCTCACGGATGACTCCACCTTATCAGTACTCATAAAATTAGAACTTTATATTACGTGGTACTAATGTTATCACTGCAGTCACTGTAATGCTATTTATGTTAGGATATTAAGACACACAACATTGCAGTGGAATGTAGTAACATAAATCCAGTGTCGTTACAATTTGGCACATCGTTCAGGAAATATTAAAAGTGGACAAGGCACATGGAAGTTCTGTAATCTTATGTTCTCCCGTATAACCAAGAAAATAGGCAAGAAATAGTGAATTTTTAAGGAAAAAATCAGAGAAATGTTTGTGCTGTGTTTAACAGAAGAAATAGAATGTAATTTCAACAACTTATTCTCGTGATGTGGCAATATCCGTACTAACCATCTCAATTGATACGACACCGCCGGTTCTATTGCTAGCCTCAACTAGAAGAGGCCAGCCTATCGCAGCCGACGGAGAAGATAATGGAAGACAGAATAATGCAATAAGATAATAGAGGTTACGAAGTGGATCGCAGTTCTCGAGTTAAGATAGGGCCGATCTTACAGCACTGGCCACATAGCCGCTAAACTGCATATCAGCATCAGAGTTACTGTAATCAGTTTCATTTCATTACTTGACATCTCTGCAGTACTACAAAACGTTAGATTTTCCGAGAGAGACAGAGGAAAAAACGAAACGCTTTCGCATGAACATTTGCTTCCCTTTATCGTGTAGGTCAAATCAAAAGGCTTCCTGTTAAAGCACGCAGCTTAAAATCTGAAAATTCTCACTCTTCTGGTATGCAATGCCGTATAGTCCGGTAAAAATCCAACGATTTTTCTAATACCTCTACCTTCATGTTCGAAGTGTAAGGTAAGCTTGTAGCTGGTTCTAGTTTTACTTGGTTTCCTCGTTGATCTTGAAGATGGAGGCAGTACTGTCCCCGAAACGTCGGTGGACTTCCATTGGATTTCATGGTGTTACATGGTAGGAGAGAATACTCTTCATAGTCCGAGCTGAGAGAACTTTAAATCTCACGTTTTGGTTTATAGTGTTCAATAGAGCGTGTGTTGTTCCTCTACTTAAATTTGAAGGAGTTCATAATTATGTGTGTGTGGATATTATATGTAGTTACAAAGATTTCTTATTTCTTCACACTCTTCTGATCATAATACGTACATAAACATACATACATACACACACCCATTCATACACACATACACAGTCATACAGTGTGCATACATACACAAATATACACACATACATACATACACATAAACATTCATACACACGTACAGTCATACAGTGTACATACATACATACACACATAATGCATAAATATATACATATATACATACATGCATACACACACATACACACATAAGGAGTGGGCCTAGCTACTGGCCCTCGCACGGCGACGTTAAGTGATCTATTGTGCATCCTCCGCCATTTTTATCCCTTCAGCAGTCATAAACTTCGAATTACGTGAGGATTCTGCTTATAGGGGCGTTATGATAGTTGTCTGGTTCCAGGTGATCAAATGTTTAATACTTGTAAGCTATAGCCTCACACCCACATAGGATGTGTGTGGTTGTTTCGTCTTTTTTTTAGACATCTTTCGCAAATAGGGCTGTCTGTCAGTTGCATTTTGAAATGGTGTCCTTTTGGGTGACAGAGTCCTGTAATTAGTCCTACCATACACCTTAACTGGTTTCTGTTTAAACTTAACAATTCCTCAGATCTTATGGCAGAAGGTCATTGTATGAGTCCCTTTGCCTGTTGAGGACTCCCAGTGTTTTTATAGTCACTGTTTGTAACTCCTACTGAGATGCCGCAAACTGGTTCAGGTTCAGTAAATAGACATTCGGGTCCTAATTTTGCCAATTGGTCAGCAGTTTCATTCCCAGCGATACCCTCATGACCTGGCACCCATATCAGCTGAACTCTGTTATGTCTGGCCAGTTGTGAGGGATTGGTTGCAGTCCCAGACCAGTTTTGAGATGATCCGGTAATTGTCAAGTGCTTTAATTGCAGCTCCACTGTCTGATAGAATATAGATGTTTCTGTTTCTATACTCGTACTTCCCTCTGGGTTCTTGACTGCGCATGCCCGAGCAGACCAGTTTATCTCCATTTGGGTCCCTGGGTCTGCAGAAACTGGTGTGATGGCCTCCATTTTTACCCTCCATTCAGTAATCTGGATCCCGGAGGGGGTTGACACACACGCTACTTCCCTCTTGGAGACCGACTCTGAGCATAATGGGCCCATTACTGTCTCTTCTCCCAGCAGGGGTTCTGCTTCAGGATCTCTTAGGACCTTAACATTTCCTTGAGAAAGTCCTATATAATTCCTGTTCCCGGTCCCTTTGTTAGTTATGTGGGAATCCGGTCTATGAGAAGGATTAGTCTCTGGCCTTTTGCTTCAGGTTGCTTGTCAAGGATCCTCAAGTGTTCAGCATGAAGCACTGGGTTAAGATCCTTAATCCACTTCAGCAAATCATTAGACTCCTGGCAATATTATCTTCTGTACTGAAAAACATTTGGGGCGGTTACTGGCATCCGTAGCCTTCAGCCTGGCCCTGATCCTAGCCTGTGATTGTCAATGGCCCTAATGCTAATTTGGCGGGCACGTAAATGAGTGCACCTCCCTCCCTCCAGCCTGAAGGATCTTCGGTCTGGTAGTTCTCGTTTTGGAATCCCATGGAACAACATTCCCAGTTCATGAAGGATTTAATCCTGGTCGTCTTCGGTTAGCTTATCTTCAGGGTGATTTTCACTTAAGATGGTTATCTCAATGTTGATCAGCGCCTCCCTGGGCCTTTTCAGAAGAC